TAGGTGTGTGTGTGTGTGTGAGCGTGTGTGTGTGTGTGTGTGTGTTTGGGGGGGGAAATATTGCCACTGTTTTTGCATAATGTGAGATGAGACCCCATCATCTTTCCTCCCCCACAACAATTTTATAACAGACAGCTAATAAATGTTTCATGGCAGAACAAGCTGCTCGCCTCAGCTTTATTAAATCTGAGATAATAAAAGCAGAGAGGGAGAGGAAAAAAGAGAGTGCGAATAGGGGGTCGCACCAGAGAGGGAGAGATAGGGAGATCGGCGTAGACTTTTCTCAAATCGACCGGCTGTATCTCCTGTTTCTGGGGCAACGGGTCCCGCTGTCCCCCGCCACCCCCTCCCCACTGCTTCCCGCTCCGCCAGAGACAGACAGGAAATGAGAAACGGGCAGACAGGATATTGCGTTCTGGTGGCCTGGGGATTAACTGTTTTATCTAAACTAACACACACCCACTCACTCATGCACACAAACACACATCTATATCCTGACACATAGCATTCATTCTTGGTACCATCAGGTGTAGATCACACACACCCAGAGACACATATCATGCAGTCCATGCACATCATGCAGGTTTTTTGTTGTTATTTTACACAGGTTAGGACTTGAATATTTCAGGCACCAGTGCTGCTCTCATGTTGAGCTGGTTATTACCATTAGTGTCAACAATTTACAGTGAGAGTCTTGACATGTAACTGTATGACTGTGAGACTGGCTGAGTGTTTCTGCAGAAATGCCACTAAAGATGCATACAGCTGGCCTACATGGTCATTAGCTACACACTCTTACATGCATTTTTGAATTTTGGAAAGTGCTCATTGAGCAAGAGGACTGTTTATGATGTTACTTTTTTTGATGCATGAACGGATATAGTCCACAAATGACAGCATCTGTCAGTGTTTTATTGATGTTTGTACTCAGGCACCTTATCTATGTTTACACTAACTGTGCATATTTGTGTTTATGTGTGCATGTGACAGTATATATGTCAGTGTGTGTGCATGTATGTATGTTCGCGCTCTCTCTCTCTCTCTCTCTCTCTCTATATATATATATATATATATATATATACATGTGTGTATTTCTCTGTGAGTGTGAGTGAGTGGTGGCAGGGTAGCAAGTATCGTGGGGAATGCTGGGAGATTTTAATAACACAGAAGCAGTGCAGGGAGATTTAATAAAAGGAGATGATGTGATTACTGAACCCTGGCTCTGAGCCATTTTGCTTCACAGAGCAATATCCGCCAAAACTGCACACACACACTTCCATACACACTCTCTCACGCACACACTCACACACACGCATACACACACACACAGACACACGTTTACACCCACATCTAAGAAATGGTTACTAAACAGAATACAACTTAAAAGTAAGATTAATGCATATCATTTGTTCTTTTTGCATCTATCACCTGATTCTATGGATGTACCTTCATTTTCAAGGAGCACCTATTTGTGTGCCACACATGACAGTCACATATATGTCAAAATCACAAGCTGTTACATCAGCACCTTTGCATATCACATGTTAAGAGGAAGAAATGTATCTTAAACTATGGGTCAAGTTTCAAAATGAATCGATCTTTGATGAGTCAAAAATATATCGAAGTTAGATTGTTCTGGGCTCACCTATATACAGCCTAATGCAAAAGGAAGAACTCTATAACCCTGAGTTCGTTTAACCAAACCCGTACCTGTATAAATATTCATCAGATATGAAAACAAGCACAACAACTGTAATTGCTCTGAGACACATACATATTTATGGAATGATTGTATTGCGGTCCAGACAATGTCATACTTGTCAGAGCTCACAGGCAAAACAATGCCATGTGACACAGCTTAGGGAGATGATGGAGATTCTGTTATTCTGTTTGTATGCCTAGGATCTACAATAAAGCAAAAAGGAAAGACCTGATTATACCAATACTTACAATACAGCACCTTTTGCTGCCTCTCTACATTTGATCTCATAATCAGTGAGCTTGTAATTAGATGTGCCCCCTAACCCCTCTGAAATCCATGGCGCTGAACACGAAGTTGCCTGCAGCCAATCTTATTGAGGTTTTTGTACAACACAAGCTCTCAAGGTTCATCATTCCCCTCAGCCTTCTGTCAGCTCTTTCATCTGTATTCTATATCATGAATATTATCACTTCATTAAAGGAAAACCCTCCAAATCCAAAGCAAAGTCTTTTTAAAACTATCTTTTCTCATAGATTTATGCACAGCTGGTCTTTAATATACCTCAGCTGTTTAAATTCTAATGCTAATTCTAATTCTAATTCTCTCTTTTTTCACTTTGAAAATTAAAAAGGACGACAGACAAACAAAACAATATTGTCAAAAATATAGCTGTATCACCCACAATAGATATTGGAAAACTGCACAGACACAGCAAATTGTGCAAAAATTAAATATATATGAATTCAAGGAAAGTTACATATGATGACGAAAACTCAAGCAATAGAGTTTCTTTGCCGTGTTTGACTAGAATGTGTAAATGTACCTCAGTTATATGGCTGCTCTTTATCCATGCATGTCCATAGTGATTTTTGGAAGCTGCTCCCTGGTCAGGACCATGTGTGAATGATACTTCTATTAGAGGGATTAGAGTGATCTACTTACAGACCCCCCTCTGTGGCAGTTGCCCCAAGTTGCCTTCATTTGCCACGTTGAGTAAATTCCTACCGTGCTGTGTACACCCCGATTAGGGAGTGTGGGACTTAACCACCAACATCATCAGTCTTATGTCAAGCAACCCTAGCGGTTCTGTTCTGTTGTATTTTGTTCACTGTGAAAGGAGGTATTTAAGATGCTGATGTGACTGTTCAGACAGAAAGCGAGGCTGCACAGAACAGGGTGACGATTGCTCTTCTTTTTGACATATATGTTAAATACTATATATTACGACTGGTATGTGGGTTCTGGCAGATATGTAGAGTGGAAGCATCCTTCTAAAATGCAATGTAATGCTTGTGTAGAAAGTAGGTTGAGCAACATTTAGTTAAACACGAGGCCCTGTCACAATAGATCTGTGCAGGGCTGCTCAGACTTGTGTTTGCTTTATGATGTTAAGTTAGCGACACTGTCATTTGGGGAATTTGGGGAGCGTTTGGCAGATGGATTCAGAAAGATTAGCTGTAGCAGCTGCGTTTGGGACAGAATCACAGATTAGGAGCTCTAATGTGCAGACCTGGCTCCTTCTTTACACTCCAGATTTGGGCAGCAACACCTTCCTATCACTCAGTCAGGGAGCGTCAACACTTCAGCCTTCATCCCTTCCTCCCCCCATCCCCTCGCCTCTCATCCTACCTCCCTTCTTAACCAGGTTTGTGTTTTGTTGTGGTGCTACTTCTTTATCTATGGACCTTTATACTTCTTTACACCTATGCACTGCCTATCTCGTAACACTTCCTGCTGAAAAGATGTACTGATGTTTCAGTGTATCTACAATATTTCCTGACTGCAGGTGTGTTGCACCGCCAGCATGATGATGGGTAATGGTACGGCGAGTTTGGTAACTTGCCAATACCAGACTAGGTATACTGATACTCTATGGGTGGGTGGGTGCAAATGTCTGTGTGCATGCCTGTGCGTGTGCATGTGTGCGTGTGTGTGAGAGAGAGTACCTATGTTTGTGTGTGTTTTAGTGTGCATAAGTGAGAGGAGAGAGATTAACCCCATGCTATCCCCAATCCCTGGTTATGAGTTTACAGCGTCTGTCTGGCCATCTCACTGTTTAAACAACAATCTAATTAATCCTGTCTTTATTAGTTTCAGTGAACTGGGGAGGCAGGCTGGGAGGGCGTGAGGGAGAACTGGGAATGCTGGCAGAAAATACTAAGGAGGGAGGGGGAGGAAACCAAGTGCAAGAGCAGGGATTTGAGAGGAATTTAATGGCAGAGACTTAGGCCCTGTGAATGGAAAGAGGGATGTGAAGAGATTGCGAGGCAGGAGAGAAATTGAAGGGTTGTAACACTGCACAGGAGGAGAGATGGAGGGACAAAAGGAGGAAAGCGGTCATAGGGAAAAGTAATGGACCTGAGTAAGACTGTTTTAAGCTTAATTCATAGAGTTAAATAAGTACTTTAAGATTGTGGGTGGTATATGGATAGACTGGAGTTTACCCCATCAAACACATTTCAACATTAAAGGATTTAAAAGGGAAAGACTCGCGACAGACACCTCTCCTATCATAAGCTAACTACTGCCACCTACTGTCAGAAGGGAGATGGGAAAATACAATATTGAAGTGAAGACTACTGTAACTCATCTTAGCAGATGTTCACCTTGTCGCTCTGTGAATTGGGTAATGCTTATACGACCTTTAATTAAGAGACGATGCTTATCTCTGGAATCATTTGAGCTGAGGGCAAATGTGTTGGGGCTCCTTGTTTGTGCTTCCATCTTTAATTACCTCACCTCTTACTCTGCACTGTTATCATGCCATGTTTTATAGCTTACAAAGGCATCCATAAACATAGAAGCCCATGTGTGTGTGTTTCTGTGCACCTCCAGGTTGTTTGTAAGGAAGTGCAGTGCCTGCCTGCAGGTCATTGGACGCTCTGAGCTGATAATGCGCGTGCTAGGCCAGGTGTACCACCTGGGCTGCTTCAGCTGCTGTGAGTGCGAACGCCGGCTGCAGAGAGGTGATGAGTTTGTGCTGAAAGAAGGCCAGCTGCTCTGCCGTATGGACTATGAAAAGGAAAGGGAAATGCTGGCTGCCATTAGTCCCACACCAACTGAATCAGGTAACGTGGGTTTGTCACAAAGAAGATTTGCTTGAATCACATATAATTCCATTCACATTTATTTGGGTTTTCCTTTTCAATTCTGCATTCTGTATATTTTTCAGCACAGCCAATCTCAGTCACTTTCCCCTAATTCAGATCACCAAGCAGCACTTTAAGTGAAAATGAGAGTATAAGGAAAGGAGGGTTTCAAGTTTCTCCTTAGATTAGTAAGTAAGAAAGCTTACAGTGCACGACAACTATTTCAGGCTACATTATTGATCGCTGAAGAACTGAATGACGAATAGAACATCTGTTGGCACCACAACATCATAATGGCAAAAGTCTTTAAATATATGTAGCTACAAAAATGCAGCAGCAATAATACATCAGTTTTTAAATGAGGTTTGATATGTCATCCTTCATTTTGAGATGATGTTATTTCTTTTAAGAAAGGTCTGATCGGTGAGCATAGTGTTTAAAGGCACTCGGCAGTTTTTACATTGCAATCTAGGAATTCTTTACAGTATGAAGAGTTGATCCTGAACCTCCAATGAGATGGAGCAACTTGGCACCAAACACCCTAGAAACTGTTTTATTTGTTCAGATGTTCACTACCTACCAAATTACAGACAGCTCACAGCCACAGGGGGCTGGTGTCATTACTTTGCCGTCTGCTTACCTTGCTCAGTGAAAAGTGAGGATGAGGACGGCGGAGGCGGCTCTGGCAGTGGGAAAGGTGGCGATGAAAGCAAGGAGCACAAGCGTTCAAAACGACCACGCACCATCTTGACCACACAGCAACGGCGAGCATTCAAGGCCTCCTTTGAAGTGTCAGCTAAGCCCTGCCGCAAGGTGGGTGGATCAGCTTGTCCTATCAGTGGAAATCTACGCACACACCCACAAAATACTCCCTGCCTTGCCTTCCAAACTTTATTGTTCTGGGGTCTGTCTCTCAGTCTGTATAGAAATAAATTAAGCAGTGTCTGACACACCAAGTTTGTATTTTAAATACAATGAAAATCTCTAACCTGTAGGTGAGAGAGACACTTGCTGCTGAGACTGGCCTGACAGTGCGTGTCGTGCAGGTGTGGTTTCAAAACCAGCGAGCCAAGGTTAGACTTTTTGTATTATCTGACGACATATTCTGTCCCATACACCAGCACATGGAGTGAAGTTAATACAGTGTGACTTTGTGCCTCAGATGAAAAAGATAGCTCGCCGACAGCAGCAGCAGCAGCAGCAACAGCAGGAGCAAGAGCAACTGGGGGGGACCAGGAGAGGACCGAGCAGAGGGGGCCGCCAAAGCAATGATGACAGTGAGGGTAAGACCTTTACAGTGCCAGTGCAGAGAAAGAAAGAAAGAAAGAAAGAAAGATGCAACAAATAAAACAAAAAAAGAAAAAAAAATACTATAAACTGGTATGGTTAGAGGGACTTTCATCTTTACACAGATGGATCTAGTACCCATGGCATGGATGGGATGCTGGGATATCCGTCTCTGCCACGTCAGCAGCTACTCGCTCTGGACCCCAACATCTATGGTGGAGAGCCCTTTCGACATGGGCTCACACCGCCTCAGCTGAACAGCGAGCAGCTCCACTCCTATGGTAAGGCACAAGGTCAAAGCAGCAAGTTCAAAAGAAACCATATCCCTTTAAAAATAAAAATTTTGTCATTTTCTCCCCACCCTCATTACAGTGTAATTTTCATTTCCTTTAATACTATTGGTGCTATTCCACTTCACCCGTCTACTCTCTCATTGTTTTTCACTGCAGACTCAGAGACAGTGTTTCATGACCTGGACAGTGATGGAAGCCTCAGTCACCTTGGCGACTGTCTCTTAGCAACAGGGGAGGGTGGTCTCTTGGCAGGACGAGTGGGAAACCCCATTGACCGTCTCTATTCCATGCAGAACTCCTACTTCACCTCCTGACCCCTATAGACTGTTACCCTTTCCCCTCCTGTTTCACCTTTCACCTCAGAGATGCAGCTAATGGAGTCTGTCCATCAACATGCCTGTGGGACCATTCTCCATGAAACAGCCAAACACACTTCTGAGCTTTTATCATGGGCTAACATCAAAACAAGTCAGACATTGTCATAATAGCACTTTGCAGCAGATTAGCATAATGTTCCCACATATTTCCTATATAAGAATCACATGCTGGAAATACAGACACTGTAAATGTCCAAGATAAAGGATCTCAGTCTCTCCTACTGTACTAATTTAATGTTCAATGAAACATGTTTCATGGCACTTTCCAACAAAAAAACAAAAGCAAACAAAAAACAAATGAACACACTTATCATACCTATCAATATGTATATCATGAATTACAGACAATAATTGGTTGTTGCAAGTGAATCCATCAATCAATTTAAATGTATTGAGGAGTCATAACAGGTCTTACGCGCAACTGAGGGTCTAAAAAAAAATAGTATATTGCAGAACTTTCTTTTTTGTTTATCCTGGACTAGTGATTAATTATTGTGCGTGAAGGACTGCAGCATATACAATACTGTATATGGATTGGAGTACAATTTTGCTCTCAGGTTAGTGTGTCAGGTTTATGTTCATATAGCCTGAGCCACACCTCAGGATATTGTGCTGAATAGGATGACAATTTAACATGCCCAGTGACTTTAAGAGTGTAGATTGAAAAAGTGAAGAATATCTGTGTAAAATGATAACTTAAAACAACATTTTTCTTTGTTTTTGATGATGCATGAAAGGTATAATATGGACCAAAAAAATATTTTGTTTTTTAAACATTTAAATTAAAGGTATCATGACAGGGTCATCTGAGGAGCCTTATGCGGAAACAGGGTTGTGTAAGTGATTACTGCTTTCCTTTCTCTTTTATAATATAGTCATCAAGAAACAGACAGTAAACAACAACCAATACATCTCTGATACCCCAAATTTAGGACACTGGGTACATAATGATGTACTCCAAATGTAAATGTGAGTATGACTGTGTTACAATTAATTGTTGTAGTCACTTTCTGTAATAATTTCCTTCTCAAACATCACATATTAGATGCTGTTAGGTAGATATTTTGTACCCTCTTCTGTGATAATCAGAAAATATTTAAACTATAGCATGATATCTATGTGCCATAAAGTAGGTCTAAAGAAATAGCCTCCAAATTTAAGTTGGATAGCAAGTGTTGCTGAAAGCGTCAGGGTTAGACTCACAATGTGGTGCATAACAAAATAGGATTAGGGTGATACTCGTTTGATTTAGATGCCAATGATCGGCTGCAACCTGTGACATTATTTCATGACATTATGTTTGACTCTGATAACTGACTCATGGTGTTTTTATAGTGATATTATTGTGCAAGTAACTTATTTGTGTGGTATTAGATGAGTTCCTATCTTACTTTTTTGTTAAGTGACTGCCAGGTGATGTGCTTTGAATGTAATGTTGCCGTATCTTCAATACAATCTGCGGTTTCATCTTTGAAGTACACATCCCTTATTTGTCCTAAATACAATAAATGATGATACACTGATCACTTGCTCATCTGGTATAAACCAAACACGCACTTTCAAAGAAGGGAATCGGTTTCTCCTCATTTACTCCCCACAAAGCTTTAATAATTGAACCAGAAAATGTCGGTTCTGCTTAGTGGTCACAGGGTTCATAACTCAACATCCTCCCTCTGTCTCCCTCAGTAGTCCTGCTGATTAGAGGTGGAAAGCCTCCTCCTTCTCCTTTCTTCCCAGAGTCCCTCCCTTTCTCAGTCACTGAGTAGTCAGGAGAGTTTGTGTGGGAGCAAATACATTCCAGTTTAATATCTGACTATGACTCAGACCTGGAGAGGGCAAGGGTGGGAGGGACAGACACAGGCAACAGAAAACAACATGGGATGACTACACCAGATGATTAATAGAAGCCTACTGCCAATTTTTAATGAAATAAAAAACAGTACAAACCAAGACTTTCTTACATACTGACAAGTATAAATGTGACTTTCCGCACACGTACACCAAGAGCAAAATACTGATACAGTAATTAAATATTCTACATGAACCATCTAGCTCACAGTGATGTAGGATCAATGTGTTATGTCTTATTTTTCAAGAAAAATAGTCACATTATTTGAAAAAAAAACAGATATTTTAGCAGTGACAGTACATCAGTATCATGGCTGGGGTACAAATGAAACCAGCCCACCTGGGATGCTTTGAAGACAAGCGCAATCTGCCGATGGAAGATTGCTATGATGACTGAGGTAACAGTTTTGTACCTGGGAAAAGAAAAGGAACGCATTAGTATGATCACATAGAAAGAAATATCTCTCAAAGGTGGTGCAAAAGTGGATGTATTTTGCAGACACTGGTCTTTTTTTTGTATCAGACATTCTCATTATATGAACAGTGCAAGACAGAAAAAGCAAACACTGGTGTGACACAAGAAACTACTACTTCTTAAAGAGACTAATGAAGAAGCATAATAATCCGTACACTCACATCTCTTGTGTTTTAATGTTTATATGTGACATTGAATTGTGTATGGACAATTCCAGCCAGGACTTACCCACTTCACTGAGGTCCACTGTCTCTGCACAGGCCAGAAAGCGAGCCACATGTGGTGAGCAAGAGGTAGCCGTGCCCTGGTTTTCTCTCAGGCAGCGCTCAAACTCCACAAACTCCTTCGAACAGTCCTGTCTGATCTTCTGGATCACTGGGCTTAACACATTTAGATACAGAAATGCTGTGAAAATGGAAGTGTAAGGATGCCAGAAACATATGAGTGGGAAGAAGTGAACAAATACGTAGCCTTACTGTGATGATGTACATTGTGCAACCTTCATCTTCAGTTCATGGCAGTTTTGCTGCCATGTTGATGGGTTGGAGGTCACACATGATCCATAAGCCTCCATTTCTTTATGACAGTACTTTGCTGTGATATCTAAAGCAGCCTGCCTAGAAAATGACAGATAAATCAGTAAAGGGTGCAATGAGCCAGAGTTCATCAACCTAATAAATGTATTGAAACATGCATAAGCAGTACAGTAAACAAAACATAAACTGAGTAATAGGAAGTTTGGTGAAAGATGTGCAGCCTAATTTACAAAGTAGAAATGTATCAATTTAAAGCTTGTATCATCTCTGTCTAGACTACAGAATGTTGTAAATGTTTAACTGATATTACCCATACTTAAAATTCTTACATTTTCCTCTTTTGAGCTGTTTCAAGCGAAGAATCTGATCAACCAAGGTTACACGACCAGCGTTTCTACATGTGGAGCCATGTACATACGGTAACAACAACCCTTACCTTCTAATTGGATGGAAATACAACGTCGTGAAACTGTTCTGTGACAAGATTGGTTCAGGTGTGTGTCAGTCAAGTATTTTGGTCACGCCCCTATGATGACGATCGATTCATTAAAGGGGTAGCTGCTTGAAAACATAATTGAAGCATCAAACGAAAATTTTAGACGATATTTTGTCTTGTTGACAGTGTATTTAAAGCGTATTCTAAACAACACATTTTATCCGTGTGGAAGACAATAAAAATTAGATTTTTTTCGGTTCAGTCATGCTGCGCGAGGTAGAACATTACGTGTCTTTGCGTGTTTACGTATGCGGAAGCAGCGATTGGAGAACGAGCTATTCAGTAAACGGACTCTGAAGGCAAGACCGCGCACTGTTCCCTGTGTTGAATCGCATTTTCACCGGCTACAGCACGACGGGGTGCTGGTGGATGATAGAGGGGGCCAGAAGGGTGAGCAAAGTACAATGAACGACGCCAAGAAAGACGGGAGTATGGCTGCAGACGGAATCCGGGGACCGGGTGAGCTGCAAATGGCCCCCTCTGTGAACCACAACCAGCATGACAGCGGCACCGGCGACGAGCTGGTGAGCTCGGTGACGCTGTACAGGCGAAGACCCCGACTGCTACATGGCACTGTCCTCCCGTTTCTGGCTGTTTTCTACCCAGGCTGGCTGTACGTGTGGTTAGGAGTGTACGGTGCCTCCGAGTATCCGGAGGCAGGCCTCCTGGCGTTAGCCGCTATCGGGATCGCGCACGTCCTCACAGCACTCTCTGGTTATTGGTCCGTGCACGCGCACTGTTGGCTCACTTGTTCCAAGGTAAACATCTAACAATAATACTGCGATAGTATGCTGACATCCTTAGAAACCACATTTTCCCACCTCCCTTTAATAGAGAGGTCAAAGTTCAGGTGCAAGTAGGGAATCAGTGTCTTACCAAAGCACCATAGCAGGGTAGGTGTTTGACCTGAACCCTTTACAACTATTTTAGGGACAGCCACTGTGTTCACAGCACTGATTTTAAACTATCCAATGAGCAAAATTTCACGACAAAATGAAATCCGAACTCTAAGACTTGTTGATGTGATATTCAAAGAAACTGTATTTCCAAACACTACTCCAGACACAGGAAGATCGCCATGGGAAACAGGTGTAACAACCTGTGTAATTGTATTTTTACTATTATATTGTCTTCAAGCAAATTTTGCTGCAGGATGATGTTACCCAAATTGTGTCTTTGAAGTCTAACAATCACCTCTAATGTGTCTTGTAGGTAGCAAAGGCTTTATACTGCCAGTTTAACAGAAAAAATGTGTTTCATTATGTGGTAGTAAAAAGGATACAGCAGTATCCTGAAAGTAATGGTTTATAAATTGTCATTTTGCTCAGAATCTGTATGCGCTTTCTCAAGAAGTAGTTGTAAAAGAAAATCTTGCACCTGCAAAATCAGTATAATAGATTTACATTTGTAATGTAATATGGCACCATTTTTTCAATTAAATAAATTACTAATGTGCCTGAAATTCATATTGATCAAGTGGCTATATGTCACTCCATGTCTCATTGGAGACAGACAAGTTCAGAGGCCCACAGCTGTACCAAAAATAACTGACCTGGCAAAGTGTGTGAGCTTGTCACCTGTTCATTTGTATACACAGGAACCAGACCCAAACAAGGCGACGTTGGCAAAGATCATACCCACCCCCAACAATGGCTCTGCTGAGCTTGTGGCACTACAGAGGGACCAGGTTAGTTCACATATTTACTCAGTTGTTAGAAGTCCACACTAGCTTCATCATTCCTGTCTATATATTGTTTCAATGCAGGCTGTCATTGTTTTTTATTTTCATTTGTGGTTAGACTTGTATTAAGTTATCTGTTATATTCAACACGTATTTAAACTATAGCATGATATTTATGTGTCGTAAAGTAGATCTAGAGCAATAACCTCCAAATTTAGGTTGGACAACAAGTGTTGCTGAAAGCATCAAGGTCAGACTCACAATGTTGTGCAGAATAAAATAGGATTAGGGTGATACGCATTTTATTTAGATGACAATGATCAGCTGCAGCCTGTGACATTATTTCTTGAATTATTACTCAAAATGACTTCTGATATCTAATATCCAATTGCATCCTATGACCTTAATGTATTCCTCCATTATTTGTCATGAATGCTATATGTATATATATATGCCATCTCATAAGTAAAAGTGGTAAGGGTAATTCTGGTTTGAGCTTTACCAGTGCTTGTATTCAATGCAGGTTGTAGCACTAAAACAATGAGCAAAAATGTGATGTGTCATAAAAATATTAAGTGATTTGTTTGTTGTTTTTTTTTCCCTTTCTTGAGTACTACAATTTAAAAAATCTTTCTGTTTCTTTTTCTGACTAACAGGATGAGAATGGAGAGAGGATTCTTTCTTTTGAGTTTCAAAAGATCCGCTACATCTTTGACTACAAAGAGAAGAAACGCTTCCTTCCAATAGCATTTCCAATTTGCAACCCATTGGGTTACTTTCAATCCTGGCGTGGCTACCAGGAGGAGACTGAGCTCAGAGCTGCAGAAAAGCGGTATGGCACCAATCGCGCTGAGATGGTGGTGCCAGATTTTCTGGAGCTCTTCAAAGAGAGGGCCACAGCTCCTTTTTTTGTTTTCCAGGTATATCTGTGTGTGTATGTGTCGGCAAATGTTTGTAATTTCACTGTTTTTATAGCGAAAATTGTAAAATATATTTATTGTGTCTCTATCCATGTGAAGTTATTTGAGATGACTTGTTGTTGTAAATATGCGCTATACAAATAAAATTGAATTGAATTGAATTATTTACCCTCTGCCATCCATCAGGTGTTCTGTGTGGGCCTGTGGTGTCTGGATGAGTACTGGTACTACAGTGTTTTCACACTCTTCATGCTCGTGGCATTTGAGGCATCCTTGGTCCAGCAGCAGATGAGGAATATGTCTGAGATCCGACGTATGGGAAACAAGCCGTACATGATCCAGGTAGGCTTGATCAAATTTAAAATGTAGTCTTATTATATTTTAAAGTTCTGAAGAAACATTTAGTCTGTTATCTCAAAATTCAATATCTGAAGTATACATTTATGAGCTAAAACATTATGATCATGATTCACAATGATTTTCTTCTAATAACATGTCAAGGTATAGGATATGAGATATACTTGAGATATACTCGTATACTAGACGTTAAGTGACCAGTCACTTCTTGTAGTCAGTATGTTGGATACTTAATAAATAGGCAGTTGTGAAGACCTCAGTGATTTTGAACAAGACCAAGCTGTTATGGGCAGACAGCTGCATTGAAAGCTTGTGTGGTACCCCCAACTGGTGACAAGGTGTTGAGGTGATGTGCTGTAACTAATATTATATGCCCTGACTTTAAGTTGCATGTCCTTTGAGTAAAGGATCTGCTACCAACATCTTGGCACAGGGTATTACAGGGCACCTTCAGAGCTTGTACAGTCCTTGCTGCAGGATTTTAGAGGTGTCACGGTGGCACTCAAAGGACCAACAAAGTATTTGACAAGCATGGTTATGTTTTACTACCGAGGCTGTTGCGACTCAGGTGACAAAGTTGCTTGTCCACTAATCACAAGTTTGTCCTTAAACCCAAAGTTGCTTCAGATGGCAAGCAAACACCTTACATGACAGCTCTGCCGGCAATAGTGTTTGTGTGAATGGGAAACATTGTAAAGCAATCTAAGTATGACTAAGGTAGAAAGGCGCTATATAAGTGCAGACTATTTACTGTTCTGGCTTATAAGCGTATTCCTTGCATTTAAAGCATCCCAAGTTAATTATATGTATTTTGTAACAGGTGTATCGCAACAGGAAGTGGAGACCTATTTCTAGTGATGAACTTGTCCCTGGGGACATTGTCTCAGTAGGCAAGTGTCTTGTTCTTCGTTTCATGATTTCTCAGCCCAAGCATCAGCTTGACCCTGTTTGGGTGTTTTAAAAAAATATGTATTCTCTACTTCATAGGACGTTCACCCCAGGACAACTTGGTACCGTGTGATGTTCTGCTACTCAGGGGCCGGTGCATTGTTGATGAAGCCATGCTGACTGGAGAGTCTGTACCGCAGATGAAGGTTTGAAACGAAGATAATAGAGTGTACAAATGGCAACACTGTGTAGTATAAGCCTCTTTTTTTTCTTAATTGCATTGGCTTATTGTAAGGTCTCATACTAAATGCTGATAATGTGGGGTGTGTAGGAGCCAGTGGAGGATTTGGACCCAGAGCGAATCCTGGATCTTCAATTGGACTCTCGTCTCCACGTCATCTCTGGTGGAACAAAAGTGGTCCAGCATAGCCCCCCTTTAAAGGCCAGTGCTGGGCTCAAGCGTAAGTACTAATTCTTCTTTTCATTTATCTGGTAAAAAAGAAAAAAAAATGTACTGGCTGAAGAATCAGTACAATTAATAGTGCATCCACCTCCTTTTTTTTCAAAGTAAGGTGCATGCTTTCTTGTGTGTTTTATTCTTTATTCTTATTCATCTTTTTAATATTGTTTCACTGTGGAACAAGTGCACAAAGCATTTCACTGCGCATTATACCATGTATAACTGTGTTTGTGACCAATAAAGGCCTTGAATCCTTGAATGCTCTTAAACCTTTTTCTTTATGTGCAGCTGTAGACAATGGCTGTGTGGCCTATGTACTGCGAACAGGATTCTATACCTCTCAGGTGAGGAATTTCCTAAATATCGTCTCGCTATCTACATGGCTGTGTGTCTTTTTTTGCTCCCATGCATTTTATTTCAAGTTTGTTTGTGATAGATTTGTTGAGGATGAGTTGAAAGTGTACTGAATGTGTGTCGCCTCCAGGGTAAACTGTTACGGACCATTCTCTTTGGTGTGAAGAGAGTGACGGCAAACAACTTGGAGACTTTCATCTTCATCCTCTTCCTCCTTGTGTTCGCTATTGCTGCAGCTGTTTATGTGTGGGTAGAAGGTGAGTTGCACACAATTAACTCACTAA